CGTGAGTAGGGCGAGGTGTCCGGGCGACGCGGGGGCGGGAAACGCGGAGGAGGCGCGGGAAATAGAGAGGCGTGTGATAGGGAGCAGGCGTGGGCGTCCGTCCAGCGCTAGTGGTTCTTCTTAATGTTTCTTTTAGAAGGACATTAATTAGTAATAAATAAGTTGGTAGAGTGGAGTAATCTTGTAGCAAGAGTAGCAAACATTAGTTTATAGGATCAAAGGGTTACTTTCTTTTGGCATTTGAAACCTAATGATATCTTCGAAATCGATTCCATGTAGAGGCGCCTTGTCAACACACATTGTTTGTCATTTTAACTTATGATAAGGTGTTCCTGTAGTTCCTAAAGAGGTTGTTATTCTAACCAAATATAACTTAGCAAGACAAAACTAAAATGGCAATAGATTTTGTATTTTTTTTGCAAGCAAGAAACACTCCTCTTTAAATTATTTATTTATTCTAAGTTTCTTTGGCTTACCTAGTCTTAGGATTAATAGCACCTAGGGATGTTGCAGACCTTTTTCATGGGTGGTATAAACATGGGTGTGAAATTATTTGGGAACCTTCAGAAAACTCTATGGAGTTTCCCTTATATTTATATCAATGACTTTACAGGAGTATAATTTAGTTCTTCTCACGTCAGGACTAGAACGCAATTCCGGCTAGATTACCACACGTATGCAACTCAAGCTGTGATACGCTAAAGATTGACTTCGATACAATACAAGCTATGATGTCATCTAACAGCCTCCCTCAATCTTAACTTAAGATTATTGCGTCAAAATTTCTTAAGATCTTTGACTGCTACCATGTTTGTAGAACCATATGCCATTTGATCTTGTGAGGAAGTAAATCTAACATCCGACAGCTTGTTCACAACTCTCTGTCTCTCTCAAATGATAATCAATCTCTATATGCTTAGTTCTGGCATGAAATACATGATCTGAAGTAAGATATTTAGCGGGAGTTAGGGTCATCGGAGAGGCGGAGACCATGACGACGGCACGGGGGTCGTAGATTAGGGCCGGCGTCACGTGGATCCGGTCGAGTCCGGCGGTGCACCAGGGCTGGGCGCGGAGCTGGTCGAGGCCAGGGGCAGGGTTGGGTGTCCGTCCTCGCGATCGGGGATAGCCGCGGGGGTGGCCGAGTCCGGCGACAGGGACGCGAATGGGTTTGGCAACGTGGTTGGAGCTAGGGTCGGGGCCGTGGCGCGGTTGGGTGTAGCGGTTGCCGGATCCGTGGTTGGGCGCGGTGGCGGCCATGGCCAGTGTCGTGGCTAGGTGCGGTGCCTGCCGGGGTCAGGGCGTGGTGGTGCTGGGGCTGCGGCTGGTGTCATAGCTGGGCGGCTGGGTGCGGCTGAGAGGCTCACAGTGGCCGATGTCGGACGGGGAGCAACAGGGAGAAGATGCTGAGAGAGTAAAGGAAATGTAAAAAAAATGTGACCTGACATGTGGGCTCTGCGTTTTGGGAGAGATTATTGGTGATCTGTTGCAGCATCTTCCCCAATAAACAAAAAAATACAGTATTGGTAACCACCAATATCATCAAATTGGTGATGAGTCATTGGGAAGCTGCTGGAGATGCTCTAACCATGTATCTAGCATATGCAATGTTACATGCAAATTTACCCTAACATATTTTTGTCATGCCATGCCATGCCACCATTAAAGGCATCAAAGGAAGCATCTGCTGCCGTATTAGGCTCCCAAAACGGGAAAGCTCAAATTAATGTCCAGTTTGCAGTTGGGTGCTTGGTCAGTTCTAGGTCTTGGTATGGCACGTGACCCAATAACTGTTGGTAGTAGTAGAATGGACCATATGTGATTCATTCCAGCTATTTATGGTTTGGCACTCACCCCCACCACATCGATTTTCTTCGCTTGCAACAAATGTACTTGAGTGGATTATGTTTTCCTTTTGGTTTTCTGATGAGTGATGACCATCATTAATTTTCCCTGCCCACATGGTCAAAACCCTGTCCACATGATTTTTTAAAGGAGATTGATTGATGGCTGTCTTGTGGAAGTACTATTTGCATCAGCGGCATGGAAATCTTGTCTATCCGCCGGGGTCCTTGCACAAGAAAGTAGGCTCTACGTGTTCCTATTTTTTCCCTTTAGCTTTTACTCCATTTTCCTTTTCATGAGAGGGAGGATTCCAGATTTTCTCAAACACACTGCTCAGAATAAATCATATTGTTCATAAGGATCTTTTCAGTAGTACAGTAGTACGAGAATGGCACATGTGAGTTTATGGTTAAGCTTCTTTGAACATCTACTATATGAAGGCCCCGTTCGTTTCGCTTAAAAAAAAGCCGAAACACTGTTCCGGCTAATTTGTTGTGAGAGAAAAATACTGTTTCAAAGCTGAAAAGTACGGATTATAAGACAAACGAACAGGGCCGAAACTAACAAATTCGTAAAATTTCACTACTAGCACAATAAAAAAAAGTCTAGTGTTTGTAGATGATAATTCAACCACCAGGTTAGTAGAGGCCTTTAAGAGCCCGATTGGATGCATAGGGATAATTGTTAGCCAATTAACTTTAACTCTAGCCCATTCAAATAGAAGAGCGCTAATTTTTAGTCAAGGCTTCAATTAGTTGTTAGTCAACTAGCTAGCCAGCTCCAGTTATTTAACCTTTTTTTTTTGCCAAACTAGTAACTAGATCTAGCTGATCTAAATATGCCCTAAGATGAGCATGGGCACCAAGATTTCAACTAGTGCTATTCCAAGATATTTCTTCAACGCTTATTTGTAATCCCTTATTTTGACCAAATAAAAAGATTGTGCAAAATTGCAATGGCAGAAGAAGAATTTCTTCAAATTCAACTGAAAAAACGAAAAAAAAGATCAAGCCTAGAATAAGTACAGAGGCCTCACTATTTTACATGTATTTGCCAAACTATTAATACATTATTAACCATTTGTACTGGCTAGATTTACAGTTTGGAATTAACAAAACGCCCCATGTGTCGCATTAGCTAGCTAGCTAGCTGTGCTTAACCAGCAGCACAGTGGCACTGGACTGGGAGACATCATTTAAGTTTTATTTTGGCGTCTTATGATTAAATCAAGAAGAGGATGGTGGTGGTGGCACCTCAATGGCGGGTCCTACTCCTCCTACCTCTGTCTATGAGAGAGAAAGAAAAGTGGAGAGAGAAAGAGGGGGCGAGCGAGCGAACCATCATCAATGCCCCAATGATCCCCCTGCAAGACTTCGATTACTTTCTCTCCTCTCTCTCTCTCTCATCTCAAGCCTTTTCTTTGACCGCCTCTCTCTTATCTCTTATAAGAAGAAGAGAAGATTCGCACTTCGCAGCCTCGCAGGGCTACACTCCATTCTATCCGTCTCTAATATCCCCCCCGCACCCTCTCCTGCCTCCCCCCTCTCTCTCTCTATCTCCTGTCTCTTTCTCTCTCTACAAACTCCCCTCGCGAACAGCCGCCGCTGCAGCTGCGTTTTGGAGAGAGAGAGAAAGAAAGAAAGAAAGAAGAAAGCGAGCGAGGGAGGGAGAGGGACAGCAACTCCCTCGGTCGCTTTCGACGGCCTGGATCTCCCCGCACGCGGGATCGTACGACCGCCACGCTGCTGTCGCTTTCCACCGCGTACGTGCTCCCTCTCCTCTCCACTTCTCCCCCCGCTTCCCTGGCCGCCTCCCTTTCCTCCATGATGCTGCCCATGTTCCGGTTCCCATCGCCATCCCCGCACAAATTCCGCTTTTCGGCTCGGGGGAGATATCAGCTGCCCTAATCCTGTTTTAGCAGCGCGCCCCGTTCGTGCGGTTATGCCCGCCGGGCTCGTTCTGTCCTGGGGCACCGTACGCAACGGCACGGTCTCTGCCGCTGGCGGCTGGCGGCCGGCGGCTACCCGGCCGTTGTGGACCGGCAGTTACTGTTGCGGTTTATCGTTGCGGCGTGGATTAATGCGCTCCTGGCCGTGTTCGCCGGGCGAACCACCGCGGTGGTTTCTCGCGGGCGTGCGGACCTGCGGGGCTCAACGGAACGCCGCCTTTTTTCGGTGTCCAGTGCCGTGTAAAGGCGTCTTTTTTTACTCGATTTCATTGCCTGCATTGCATCACTCTGCTGCGTTTGACTGCTCATCCAGCAGCCTTTATTTTGCGCCCCTGCCTACCACCCATCTCTCTGGTGTGGACTTCACCTGAGGGCGCTCCCGTTAGTGGGAGTCGCCGGCCGGCGGATTTCCACCGGATTTGATGCGCGCATCTTCAAATTCTCGGCCTTTTTGCTGCCTCGCAAAAGCTGCTGCGTCTTACCTTTTCTGCCTTCTTAATTTGGACGAGGTGTACGGATCACTGTTCGCCCTAATTATTTCCACAGTTGTTAACCCACGGGCTGTTTTTTTTTATGTGTTTCTTTTGAATTGCTCGATCCCTTTTGGTTTTGGTGCTCTTCTTCGTGGGAATGTATGTATTTTTCCTTTGCTCGCCCTTGCTCTTTGCTGATTCAGGTTCCGTCTGCTCTGCTATAACGCAGCCTCTGATTGCAGCACACCACACCCCTTCTGTTATTTTGGAATAATAACTGGAAGCATTTCGGGTTTTGGGATTTGGCACCTAGCCTCAATGCCACCGAAACCATTTTGGAAATGAATAGGGCTCATTAAGTGATCTCTGGCAAATGATTGAGCAAGCAGTGCAGAACTTGTACTTAGCAAATTAGGTTTTATGCTTCAAGGGTACGACTACAGCCTGATGTTTTTATGCCAAATTTGTTCTTCTGTTCTAAGCAAGTGATTACTCCCAGATATGCTGGACCATTCATGACATTTATCCACTTGTACCTACTTGTTTTTTTTTCTTCTGTGGCCTCAGTGGCATATTATTCATTTGCTAGTTATTAGCAAGTATTGAAGCTACATGCTGCTTTTTTGGAAGTGTGGTGATTTTTTTTTGTCTTCCGAACGTCAGTAGGATTATTATGCATTCTCAAATGCTGCTATGGATATTTTTGCAGATAGTAAATTGCCAAGGCTGTTGTAATGGGGGTCAATGGTCATCACGAACCTCGCAGAGGATGTAATGGCACCGTCTGCAATGGTAGTGTAAGACCACTCGATCATTTTGGTGATGTGGATCCATGGACGGCATGGGCATACAAGCCTCGAACAATCTCGCTCTTGCTGATGGGAACGTGCTTTTTAATGTGAGTTCATAGTATTTTTTTTTTGAACAAATCATAGTCTTTTATCTGTCGAACATTTTATTGACAGGAACATGCTTTTTTGAAATAATAATAATGTATCATTGGTTATTGGCCTGTTGTGGTATTTTTGGAACTTTTTCTTCAATTTGAACCACCATTATATATAATTCAAAATATTACTTAGCAGATGCACAGGACTTCTATGTTTGATGAATATTGTTTCATGTTCTTTATCAGTTGGGCAAGTGGTGCTCTCGATCCAGAAAGGAGCTCTTCTGCTGATCGTGTTTCGTCAGTCAAGAGGTATTTGTAATGATTTGTCCTCTTCTATTGCTTTTCTTGCAGCTATATTTTTTAATAAGCCCTCTTGGTTCTGAACTCAGTATTTCTGATCACCATTTTTCTTTGTGTCATGTGCTGGTTACCATTTTAAGGAGGGCTTATGAACTAATTTGTACTATCTCTTGTCAACAGGGGTGTATTCGCAATGATTGCTGTTTTTTTGGCTTACTCTTTTCTTCAGGCACCTTCAACGTGAGTTACAGAGCTCTTTACCTAACTCTGATTATTGTTTTACCACATTAAAAAAAAGTCGAGACTTATGGGTAGAGATGTCCCCAGGGCATCAAAATTAAGGCCAAGAAAGGCACTGAACACCAGCTGCTGAGGACGCAGTCATGTAAAAATTTCTGAAATCATTTTACTTTTTTCGTGAACACACCTGAGCGTGTATTTCATTAAGAGGGAGAGAAAGTTCAACCACACGCACGTCAAAGCCAAGAAGAGAGTGTAAATTTCAGAAAGCAGTTTACTTGAGGTACCTCATAGTCATATAGATAGATATAATAAGGACAATAGTCATATGGTACAAAATGATGCATTCCCTCAAACTCTGTTCAATTTAACATCTTGTTAAACGACTCAGCAAAAACCTTTCCACATAGAGTGCTTCATTTGTTTTGTTGCTGTACAATAAGTGGAATCACATTTTTTGATAACAAATTTGTTATTTTCTTGCTTCATACTTCTGCTCCCAGATGACATGCCCTTCTCTTTGAAATAAATGATGGGTTTGGTTCATTTCATCTGAAAAAAAGTTACTTCCTTGAAGTCTATAGATTTAGTTATTAAGGTATTTTGAGTTTATGCAAACTGTTACTGACATATACTTCTGCTGTGATTTAGCGTACTCATTAGACCACATCCTGCCATTTGGAGGCTAGTTCATGGGATGGCAGTTGTTTACCTTGTCGCCCTCACTTTCTTGCTTTTCCAGGTGAATGCAGTTTTTCATGAACTTTGTTCAATATTTTTTTAAAAGATTCTTTCACTGCATGAATTGTCAAGAGTGTTGCATTCTATCTTGTTTTATATCTATTAAGCAAATCTTTATCATTACTAAGAAGGGCGGGCCTGGTGCAAGTGGTAGAGTCTTACCGCCTGTGACCGGAAGGTCCCGGTTTGAGTCGCGGTCTCCTCGCATTGCACAGGCGAGGGTAAGGCTTGCCACTGACACCCTTCCCCAGACCCCGCACAGAGCGGGAGCTCTCTGCACTGGATACGCCTTTTTTTTATCATTACCAACTGTTTCGTGCATTGGTAATGAATCGCATTGATGTCCCTGTCCTTTTTCTCCTGCCTAGCATAGGTCCTTAATTTTGATTAATACTTGAGCTCACCCTTCACTTGAACTAATGATAAGTCACTAGCTATTTTCTTAATAAAAACAGAGAATTGAACAATCAAAATGAAAGAGTACCAGCAACAAGTGTAATGAACAATTAGGTGTAAACTGGAGAGAGTAAAGCTTAGTTTGAAACTAGGGTAAGTGGGTGGCTAAAGAGAATTACAATGTATGGTGGTAGGTTGTAGCTTATCTATACAGTAGAAACATTTCTAGATGGCATATTATATTCCTGTGTTTCAGATGGTAAAGGCTATTCTTGTAGGTAGTCCAAATGCTAAGCATTTTGTCAAATCTTGTATGATTTTTATAAAATAAATAAATAAAACCAGCTTACTGTTTTTACAGAAGTTCATGTCAGTCCAATGAGTTTATTCTGCATCACTATGTTTGTGTGGTTAAGAAATTGTGTAAATACTTTAATACGATTGTCCATCTCTTTCTTTAATAGGGGTGCTTTCACCCCCCTCCTGCCGAAGATCAGGAGCTATGCACGCTTCCACCATGTGAAGCCAATCTCAGTCCCAAATTTTCCCTCCATATCTCTACTCTGATGTTATGTTGTTTTATTACTCAATGGCTCATCCTCATAAGATAAAACAGTATTTCAGCAAGTCAGAGTTCAGTGGCGAACATTTTAAAGAGAAGAGCAGCAAAACCTAGTCAGTGTGGCATTTCATATTTTCATTAACTTTGTTTTGCAGACTCGTGATGATGCTAGGCAATTCATGAAGTATCTTCATCCTGATCTTGGTGTCGGTAATGCATTTAACTTTCTAATCGGGCTTAGTGGTGTAGATTTAATGCTTGATAAATACTGATTTGATATTTGTACTTTGAGCAGAATTGCCCGAAAGATCTTATGGAACTGATTGCCGCATATATGTACCTGATCATCCGAAAAGCAGGTTTAACAATGTTTATGTATGATGACTTCATTCACCGACCTACTTTCCTTTTTGTTCAATTTCGTTTCTCATATACTTCTGACTAAGCAGTCTTGACTATTCAACATGCTTCAAGTTACTGATTTAAATATAGGTTTTTCTAGGAGATCATTTTTGATGAGTTTGTTATCGCTCATATCCTTGGATGGTGGGGTAAGGCTATAATGATACGAAATCAACCACTTTTGTGGGTCTTATCAATTGGTTTTGAGTTAATGGAGGTATACTCTTTGTGTTGTGGTCAAATTCCTCTTGACTTGTGCTTTCCAAACCCAGGTTCCTAATGTAGCATTATATGTACTGCAGCTCACTTTTCGTCATATGTTGCCAAATTTCAATGAGTGCTGGTGGGATAGCATTGTCTTAGACATATTGATCTGCAATTGGTTTGGTGAGATTTTTATGTGGTTTTAGTAATTTTCTGTATACGCTTGTTTGGGTAGCCCCTGAATACCTGCATTTAGCATATATTGAAATCAATCTTTTTTTTATGGAACTATTGACTTATTGGCAACGTTGGTTTACTGTACTATATACTAATTATGTGGTGTCCTCTGATGCCCTTGATACTTTAAGTACATCACAATACCTTAGTGATTTTCTTGTACATGCCCTTGGTACATTAAACATGGTAATATGGTGACTCAAATAAGAAATATAATGTTTTAAAAAAATCTTAGGTTTTGATGAATGAACAAAGCTATGGAGTTTTTCAGGAATTGTACTTTATGAACTGGTTTATTAGCTGCTGAATAGAGAATGTTTTCATGCATATCTCTGTAAACTCAGTTGCTGCCCTTGTTTATCGTTCCTCCAATTTGGTGGTTCTTCTCTGTGTCATCTTTATATGCATTTCCTAAGTCTTATACTGATTCTGGCATAATTTAGCCATTTATATTTATCTGCAAGGTTTCAGTACTTATTGACTGAGGCCATTTTGTCTATGGTTCAGGTATTTGGGCTGGAATGAAAACTGTGCGGTACTTTGATGGGAGGACATACGAATGGGTTGGTTTGAGCCGCCAACCCAACATTATCAGTAAGGTATGTTCATTGGATGTTTAGGCAAATGAGCTGTACTGCAGAGCATGCGGTTGAGCTGGATCTATTTCCCAGTTTTGGTGGATGTTCCTCTTTGAGGGAACATATTGGCTCCCAAACTGTACATGATGTTTGTCCTACTTTAGTCCTATGATAAGGTGATAAGTCTTGGGCATGTGGGATGTGCTGAGAAACCAGGACAAGATGCTCTCTGTTCTCTTAAAATGTCCCTTAGCTAGCCTGTACTTGTGTTATTTGAGTACATCTCAAGTTTTTCAATGCAACAGCTCACACTTTCATATATGTTTGATAGGTTAACTATAACACATAGGCCTTAACATAAAAAACAAAAGTATGCACATGCAGATGTTCTTTTCTCTGTTTTCTTTAATGTCTGTAGTAGGATAATAGCCTTCATAACTTATTCTCTTTTTCTCACCAGTAATTTTCTTTCAATCCATACGTGGCTATGTCTATGTGCTTCAGAAACTAATCTTCAGCCTTTGAATCTTGATTTAACATTGATAGCTAACCTTTTTTCAGAGCTTATTTATTTAGCATTTTCTTTTCCTTAGGTAAAAAGGATGCTGGGACAGTTCACACCAGCACATTGGGACAAGGATGAGTGGCACCCTACGCGGGGTCCTTGGAGATTCATCCAGGTGCTGAGCCTTTGTGTTGTTTTCATGGCTGTCGAACTGAGCACATTCTTCCTCAAGTTTTGCCTGTGGATTCCTCCGCGGAACCCCTTGATTGTCTATAGGCTGGTCCTTTGGTGGTTAATTGCGATACCAACCATCCGTGAGTATAACACCTACTTGCAAGACAGGTATAATTTTGAAGTCACTTGGTTCAGATTTTTTTTTATCAAACTTGGTTCAGACTTCACAAAGCTGCTTTGCAGTAACCACTATGTAGTTGGGATGGCCCATTTCATCTCAACATCATTGTTGTTCCAATAGCAGCAATTTTGGATGCTCAGTCTGCTGAGCGGTGACTTTTCCACTATTTGTCGTGCTCACATGCTATCCCTGACAGTGTACATGTGCTACAAATGGCTCCTGTCAACTAGACATGGCTAGCATGTGAACTGTGCATGTCATAACATTTTGGAACCAACAAGTTAATTTATACTAGTGCAACCAATTGTTGCCATTAGTAATTATGACATTGTTTCTGAAATAATAATTGTCTGATAATTGTTTTCAGCAAACCATTTAAAAAGGTGGGATCCTTCTGTTGGCTTTCCCTGGCTATATGCATTGTGGAGCTCCTAATCTGCATCAAGTTTGGACATGGTAAGTGTTGCTCCAACTTCTCTGCGTATGTAACTTGCAAGTACTGTTTATACCTCCTTGAAGCATGCTAACAGCACGGGATCCTGTGCAGGTCTGTTTCCAAAGTCAATGCCTTCGTGGTTGATCACATTCTGGTCAGCAGTCGCCTTGCTTCTCGTGCTTTTTGTGTGGACATGGAAATACCGAACAATGATAAGGAAAAGGATATAATTGTGACAAAATAAATTATTTATTTGCCTCCATTCTTTACCCAATTCAGTGTTATGTACATAAAAATTTATTCAAATTGTGTACATGTAGTAGTAGTGTCAGCCTTGGTGATCTGAAGAGGATTATCCATGAGAGTTTTTTTATGCCTTGTCTTTCTATTTTCCATCAGCAAAGTAGGATAGCAGTTCCCCTTTTATTTCGTCTGTAATGGTGTACTTCGTTGACCGGCTCTTAAATGTGGAGATCCCTTTGATGCAGCCTATGAAATAATGGATGAGGATTTAAGTCTTTTCAGCTCCGAATCCCAAACTGTTGAAAATTGTTTCTGGATGGCCCTCGAAACCATCCTTAGGCCTCAGCTATTTTTCCCACTCCAATCTATCGTAATACATATCGTGGATTGAAGTGCAGTCAAACAAGTCCTTAGCTATTGTGATATCCCTCTTTTTTCTGAATTTCGTCTCTCACTAGGGAGTTGGCATCTCTCTTCTGCACATATCTGCAGGTTGCACCACACTGACACTGCCTTGGGCACGGGAATTACCTGCACCATTCATTTCCTTTCAATGTAGCAGCAGTACTGTCTCTGTATGGTGCGAGCCCATTAGCTGAGCCTGGTTGATAAACAGTGGGTGATTCAGGTGTTTCATTGTGATGTGTGAAGGTAGAGGGTAGGCCTGTCCTGTTGGTGAATGTACTCTTGTGTCTTGTCCAAGCCTCGGGCACTCTTCTGTAGGCTGGTCCTCCGTATGGTAATGTGGTTGATGGTTCCAGTCTTCCAGCAGGCCTATGCAAAGATTCTTATTCCTTGTTTGGTCCATTGTTCAGTGAAAGGGTCGGTCCAAGTCCAAGACGGCCTCTGAACTTCCTTTTGTCCTTTGGAGAGGACTGGGAGAGTCCACACCAATCTGCTTCTTCTGACAGCAGGTAACTAATGCGGCCCAAGTGGGGGTCTACTTAGATGGGCCAAAATCTAGGAATATCCATACAGATGGGCGGCAAAATGAATCCTGGCACATTAAACTTAACGGGCTAAGATTTGTTTGCCTGTCTCCACCCGGACGAGGCCTGATGTACTTTCCCGAGGAAAAAAAAAGGAAAAAAATCCATTTTATCTCCTGAACTATCCTCAAAGTTTAGTTTTTCTTCCTAAACTCAAAACCAGGTAAATCACCTCCCTCAACTTTTAAAACCGTTCATTTTATCTCCCTGACCCGGATATACGTGGTTTTCAAAGACGGTTTTGTCTTTTTCTTTTTTATTTATTTTGGCTGAATATTTGAAAAATCATAATAAATCATAGAAAAATCATAAAATGAAAAATCTAATTTTGTTTGACTCAACATGAGTAGATTTGCACAATAAACATATAATATGGTATATTTTAGTACAAAGTTTTTGCTGTATCTTTAGATCTATGTTTTTCTGTAATTAATTCATAGCTGCAGTTTCTATGGTCAAATTGTGGTGAAATTTTTATGATGGTCTAATTATTGTATGCTTTCATTGTAGTAAAAATTTCATACTTGTTTATATTTTTACACACTTTTAACTATTTTAAAACTATTTAACAAGCATAAAACTAAATAAATCTATAACATAGTTATACATGCTCTAATGAGCATGAATTTTTTACTATAGCTCAATCATATAATAATTAGTTCACCATAAAAATTTCACCACAATTGGACCATAGATCCTACAGCTTTGAATTAATTACAGAAAAGCATAAATCTAAAGCTACAACAAAATTTTGTACTAAAGCATACCATATTATATATTTACTGTGTAGATGTACTCATGCAAAGTCCAAGAAAATTAGATTTTTCCATTTTATGCTTTTTCTGTGATTTACTATGTTTTAAAAAATCAGCTTTGAAATAAATAAAAATAAAAAGACAAAATCGCCTTTGAAAACCACCTATAACCGGGTCAGGGAGGTAAAATGAACGGTTTTAAAAGTTGAAGGAGGTGGTTTACCCAGTTTTCAAGTTCAGGGAGGAAAACTAAACTTCGAGGATAGTTCAGGGAGGTAAAATGGACTTTTTCTGAAAAAAAAACACATACACAAAATGTTTGTTGCTCCCTTTTGTTCTTATATTTAAATTGTAGTTTTGCTTTATTCTTGTTCAAGGTTAAATTTTGTCCAACTTTAATAAAGTTTATACAAAAAATGTACTAACAATACAACATCATATTAGTTTAATCAAATCTCCCATAAAAATGCATTTATTTCATATTGTAGATGATAATGTCTTTTCTCAAGCTAGTTTAGATGTTTGACTTAGGACCAAACTAAAATGACCTATATTCATCAAATTGTTAACGTGGCGCTCTATTAAATGCATAGAAATAGATTCTTCACTCTCCCATTGGACTGCCATGGGGGAGTGTACTCCTTTCATAGCCCTTTTAAAATTTGACTCAACTTCAATATCACAAAGTTCTAGATCAGATCACTAAAAAAACAAAAACAAAAAAAAAGATTGTGGGGGTAAAGAGAAATATGAGGTAACTTTGTTGCAACACTTGAATATAAGTAGGGTTTGTCTACCCAACATCTAGGATGTTTTACTCCTACTCCCACACTAGATTTTTTGTTGTTTGAACCTTTATAAACATTCCATCTTGTGGCTCTCCATCCTTTTTATTCTCCATCATTAAGAGGGACGAGTAGTGCCTCATGCCCCCACCTCTCCTTTCTCCCATGTTAGGCGACTCCCACCCTAGATCCATTCCCATGCACGCTAACCTCTCGGAGTGATTGTCAGAGAATCTCATTGGCATTTGAAGAGAGTCAAGATTGAGTGAGGAGATAATTTTGGTATTTTGCACAAGAATTGTATGCTCACTTGCTCTTACAAGATCTGAAAAGAAAAACTTTGCACAAGAAGAAGTAGGTCCATAAACTTTCCAAGTAGTCGCTACTACCTCCATCCCAAAACACTCATTTTAGGAATTTTAGGACATATTAAGATATGTGAAATGACCATGGATGCCCCTATTAGTTAAGGTTGTCTAATTTTCAAAAGTAGCTAAGGCATACTTGAATGGTATGTTGTGTGGTACAAAATTTGAAGTCTAGAATGTAAAGTTTTTGGGACAAAGGTAGTAGTATATGGTGCTTTGTGGATAAAGTTTTGGAGTTTGGAGGGAAGGTTTTTTTTTTTTTTTTCTTTTTTTGACTAGGAGGGAACGGTAAGTTGAACTAGCTGGATTAGAGAGACATGGACAGCAGAGGGCCTTTGTTTCGTACCAAATAACCGTACTACTTGTCGACTCAAAGAGGGGAAAAAAAGGAGCCTGAGAATGTGTCGCCTGACGAGCTCGTGAAGGATTGATTTGTCATTGAACGCAGAATAATCGCGAGGTGCTAACTACTCAACCAATGATTAAACTTGGGTTCCTAAAATGGCATGTACTCACCCACCGATGCTTACCAAAACGCATCCCGTGTCTTTTGCGTGGCCCAATTCCGTGAAGAAACCGGCCAGCGGAATGGAGATGCAGATGGCCAACCTAAATACCTAATCCATGCCCCGGATTCTCTGTCATATCATACGCTCTTCTAGCCTTTCTGCTTCCTCTCGGAATCTCATCTCATCTCCCGAACTATATGCTTGCCCGATTATATGGCTGTCGGCCTGTCGCCAATTATGTGGCTGGCTGCTTTCACCTCTCTGATTAGTCGTAATCAAGCTTGCTCGTCCTTTCCGTCGTCGCCAATTTCGATCCTTCTGCTCTCTCTTCATTGTTACAAGTTGGAATGGTACTATGCTGTTTGTTTGTTTGGAAATTGGAAATAGGAATTTGGTATGGTTACATATTGTGCGTACTCTGCATTATGCGTCTGATATGAAAATGATGCCACTGTCGTCGACATCCGTGATGGACCATGGATGAGTGGGAGAGCTATATAATAATGAATTACTAGAGCGCCTCTCAAACGTTGCAGTCCTCTTCAAGATATGGCCATGCGAACCACCGCGTCGGCCGGCCATGGCTGCTGCCGCTGCCGCTGTCGCTGTTGCCTCGTCTTTTTCAGCAGGCCTTTGGTAGGTATTCTCCGAGCACGAGACGCCCAGGCCCAGCGAGGGTTGACAAAATTAAAAAGATTCCCTGCTTGGAGTGGCTCATAATTCCATCGACGCTGAAACTGAAAGCCTCCTGCAGCTCCAGCTCCAGTGATTCTCCCGTGCACGAAACTTATTAACATATATAACCACTTTCATGTTCTGATCTGAAAAATGTTTAGTGTGTAGTAAATCAGGCGAGCGGATCATCAGAGCTTCAGTTTTCGTTTAATTTTCCTGAAAACGAAGCTTCAACCTTCAGAATAGAATAGAGTGTGGCAAGATCCATTAGCTCTCGCTCTCATCCTCTGTCGGTGGCCCATTTCCTTGCGGATTTCAAATTCCGTTGACGGTCTCATCAGCAGTGACGAACGAACGAAGCTGTTCAAACAATTCTTTGGAGCTTGCCGGCGATGCCGCAGCCTCACTTTAAATATAGAGGAAGCCTAAAATTATACTCACATGCTGCTGCAATATGCTGATGCAAATGATTGGCCACACACAAGCAAACACATCATGCGTTGAAACAAAACAAGCAAGTCTAATCTAATCAGCCGCACGCCGAAGCTCGAAATGCGATTAATGAGTAGTATTCCGATGATCCGGTCCACACCAATGTGCGCAGCGCACGATATGCGGAGATAGCATATGTAGCCAACGTCGACTCGCCATCTAACACTGTGATCCTAACCGCCAAACTACCTGCAGCTGCGAGCTCCAGAGTCCAGAGAGGCTAAACACAAGCACGACCTTTCAGTTGCAGTAGCTGTAACTTGTGAGTTGTGACCTCTGCTAGGATATCCTCCTATCCCTGATAGGTGATGAACTGATGATGCAGGTACCCTTGCCAGGTCTTACTGCTCTGAAACCATCAAAAGTTAATCAATCAATTTGTTTGCTACCACAGTGCGCTGGATTGATACTTGTGAACCAACAACAGACTGATGGCCAGTTGGATTATTGGATCAGCTGGCTGCCTTGCACAAATTGGTTTCCTGGCGGCTCTGGTCAGAGTTCCTTGGACGCATGCATCATAGCCGTGCGAGAGCCGAGAGTAACTGTCCTTCGTACAGCAAGTTCACATCAAAGACTTCTAGACCATCTTCTGACACAAGATTAAGCTACCTATTGGGAAAGTGGAGTCCCGACAGGGGGGTCGAGTGCGCAGTGCGCTGCAGGTCGGCCTCACCCGGCGAAAGCCTCGGGGGGTTCTTTATCTGTTTAATTCTGCTGTTCGATTCTATTAAGTTAAGTAATCCTATTTGACTTTGCTAATCCTATTTCTTTACTTATCTCTGAAAGAAGTTGACTTGGATTTCTGTAAGGAAGGAACATTTATTTCAGCAAAATAGAACTTGCAACCACTGATTATGCCACTGTTAATTAGTAATCTGGACTTTCTTAAGCAACACGTCTGTGGATGGCTGGCTGTTTCTTTAAGAGGAACAGTCTGTGGAAGAATGGCATTAAGAGGGCGTAGCTACGGCAAAACATAACGTAATAGTGTAGGTTACAACACCACAGAGGAAGTGGTCAGGAGCCTAAGTGACGAAAGAAAGAAAGAAATGCGAAGGCTTTCGTCGGGGACCCTCACAATTATCGAGGCAAAGAGTCCTAGGGTTTCGAGCCAGAAAGTGATATCTCTCTCTTGAGGTTTGAGTTTTTTTTTATATGGTACGATTACATAAGTTTTCATATACAAGATTGTCTCTTGCTAGCTATGACATATTCCAATATATTCCTTATACACAGAGTACATCACATTAGAGCCTTAGCGTCTTTTGCATGCACAACTGCCTTTCCTACTAGGCCCTTGTCGAGTCAAACTTTTGGCCTGTTAGGCCGTTCGGCCTAGCCTGCTTGGCTTCCGCCACTAGGTCGCAATCGTCAGCATGCCATGCGAAGTCCTCTCCTTCAGGAGCCTTCAGCAAAGGTCTGCCAGTAGCCTGGAGCTCCTCCGAGCGGGGGACAATCACAAGCTCCGTCACCGGTTTTGACGTGAGGACTCCAATTGGCGCCGGCGAGGAGGGTTCGGTGTCTGGGAAGGCACAACGAGCGGGAGTTAGAGGGGCGCAACACCGGGGGATGGAGGGTGAACGACCTGGGGAGGCTAAATGGGCAGACTCAGTGTCCCTGCAGAGGCCCCATGGTGTGGTGACGAACAGCGTCGCGGAGCACCCCAAAGGCGACCGCCGGGTGCGACGGTGAGTGTCCCATCTTGCCGGTACTGAGGAAGGCAACGATGACACAATCACGAGCACAGTGACCTTCACGCTTGCAATTTAAGCAATGTACGTATACAAAGATTTCCCTCTTCCATTGTACAGTATATAGTCTCACTGTAAAGTGTACATCCAGGGCCGTGCCGGCGGGCGTGCAAGCCGTGCGGTTCGTACATGGCCCCAAATTCCAAGAGGCCCAAAAATTATGGCGCATTAAGCCCTGCTGACTTTCAGATTACTTCTGATGCTGCGTCTCTTCCTATATCGCGTTACCTGAATCGATCTACGTCGATCTGCCTCCCTGGCTCTCCCGTAGTCCCATCTTGGCTTCCCCGTGCCTCCCGTCTTCATGATCAAGCAAGCTGGCGCATGGCATCCATCTACAGCAATCTGTCTCCCCGGCTCTCCCATCCTGGCTTCACTGTCTCTCCATCTCCGTGATCAAGCAAGCTGCAAGCCGGATGGAGGTCTGGAGGCCAGCGCCCAGGTGTAGGTCTCAAGGGGTAAATTCCTGATTCCTAAAGACCTGAACTCGTGGAAGGTAATTATCTAATTGACTAATTATCTTATATTTATCGATACAAATATTTCTTTATGTTAATGAATAATTACTCGTTGCTATAAGTAGATGCAGAACTGTTGTATTGCGCAAAACGGTCGATGGTGCATACACTCACATCCGATAAAAAACACAAATTACTACTCTCTCTCTTTTTTTGAGGATCACAAATTACTACTCAACAAGTGAAAACAAGTATTTTTATTTCAATTCTGTTAAATAATTTAAAGAACACTAAGAGAATGATATTGTGTTCAAATAAAAATTATGCAATCACAAAATAAATAGGTATGATTTTTTATTTATCGCATCGCTATGTACGCATATATCATGTGTACATCCATAACAATGATACAAAGTTCCAACTAAAGTAATGTACGTATACAAGGCAGTAGTGAGTAACTGTGTGTATATACTACGTACAGGAGTACTACTATGCAGGGGTAGCACTGTGCTGAGCAGTGAGCACGCCGGCGGCTACTGTGCGAGGTTGTTGAGCACCTGGAGCAGCACCTCCCTGAAGCGGGCGACGTCAACGGTGATGTCCTGGCCGTCCATGAGCGTCTGCCTAATGAACATGAACCCCTTCTTGTGCAGCGCCGTCGGGTTGGTGAAGATCTTGTGCCCGCTGGGGAACTTGTCCTTGAGCGTGCTCTCGGCGACGCCGATCTCGTACTGGATGTACTTGAGCCCCATCGCCTCCGCGGGGTCGCCGTAGTCCGCCCTTGCCATCCACTGCAGCCCGCCCCACGGCACGATCTGCACCAGCGCTGCCCCCGGCGGCAGGAACATCATGTTGGTGAGCCCCGCGCCGTGCACGCCCACCAGCGCGTCGCACGAGTTGACGAGCCCCCCGACCTGCGCGATGTCGTTGGCCACGTCCGACTCGTTCACGACGGCCTCGAACCCGACCTCCTCCGCCGCGCGCACCACGGCGTCGAGGTTGAGGAGCAGCCGGGTGCGGTGGCGCGAGATGATCAGCAGCCGGGGCTTCTTCCTCCCCGTGCCGTCGCCGCCGAGGCGCGTGGGCGCGTCCCGGGGCAGCCCGAGCGCGCGGCGGAGGAACCGCGTGAAGTCCGGCGTGGCGAGCCCGTCCAGGCTGCGCTCCCGCTCGATGATGAGCTCCTTGTGCGCGCGCAGGCTGACCACGGCGTGGCGGAAGCAGTGCACCTCCCGTGCCGCGCCGGCCCTGGCGAGGTCCAGCGGCGCGTGGCGCGACAGCTCGCGGAGGAGCCGGTCGTACTTGACCAGCCACCAGGACGCCGCGTTGGCCAGCACCAGCTGCACGTCGCCGCGGTACCGCTGCACCGTGTTGTAGAGCGGCACGAGCACGTCGGAGAAGTCGTGGAAGATGTTGCCCGTGTACCCGCCGATGGAGAACACCACCGCGGGCGCCGTGTGCGTCCTCGTGCACCGCGTCGCGCCCGCCGCGTCGCGCGTAGCGCGCACCGTGAGCTCCGTGATGCGCCCCATGCACGTCTCGTCGCCCTTCCGAGGGTACGGCCGCACCTTGTGCTCCTCCTCCTGCTCCTGGCCGCCGCCGCTCGCCGCCGGGTCGACGATGACGACGAACGCGGACACGTTGGCGTCCATCCGGACATCGCCGGCGAAGTCGCAGATGTCGCTGCGGAAGTCAGAGAAGTCGCACAGCGGCGGCCGCGGCTGCTGCTGGTGGTGGTCCCCGCCAGATTCTGCACGCGTCGTGTTGTCACGTTGGTTAATTCGTTATCAGGCTCCACCATGATGCACTTGCTGACAGGTCTACGAATCTTCCGCAAATAAAATGCTAAGAAAAAAACAAGTTGACGATTAGATTAGGTTCGATTCGGCGTTGCTTTCGCCGTTCCACTGCACGTACGTCGTTCTGGCTCGTCGTGCCGCTCCTCTTCTTGCCGTTGCCGAGCTGGCTGCTCCTGGAGCTTGCTCTGACCACCACCGCCGCCAGCAGCAGCTCTCGTCTTCTCCTCTGCACAAGATACAGTTGCAAAGACGAACGTCACATCGCACACATGCTGTAACAGTCCCGTCGAGTCCATTAATTGTGACTGACGACCACCATTCATCCGCCGTGCACGGCATGGCGGATCATTTGACGGTTAATTAGGCTAGCTAGCTAGTGAGGGAGCAGAGCACGGACCTGGCCGGTCCGGTGCAGCCGACGTCGTTTCCGCGGCCGGCTGCCCGGTGACCACGGCGCCGGCGGAGTCTTGGACCGCCTTCTCGGCACCTGCCGCGTTCCACAAGTTAGTCAAGTTCACGTCTTGCCGCTTTGTGGAAGTGGAACAGCCTCGGGCATCGGTCGTTGCCCACGTCCACGTACCTGGTGCTGCAGGGTGGTCGTCGGAGTTGGACGACGCCGCGGCAGTGGCAGTGGCGTCACGGTCGGGCTCGGTCTCCTCCGGCTCTGCCTCGCTGGTCTCGTCGTTGCTCCTCTCCTCCACGATCACCGTGTCTCTGACCCCTGAAGATTTTTTTTTAAAAAAAAAAAATCAGAGATCTTTTATTTACGAACAAAACCACGATGCTGGCAGGCAAAGGGCAGAATCTAAAAGCGTCGGGCCTGGCTCCATTGGCGACGTACATTCTGTGACCGTCTTGTCGTCGCCGGTCTGCTGGAGGCTCTGCTCCTGATGACTCTGCGGCAGGATGTCCACGTGGAAATCTCCACCTGATGATGATCGACAAAAAGCACGCACGTTGACGCGACGGGCCCAAGCAAAGGATAGTGAAGATCACTTCATGAGCGGCGAGTTGATGGAGCAATCGTGTACGTACCTAAGCCGGCGGAGGAGGAGGAGGTCCGCAGGGTCTTGACCGCCACCGTCCGGCGCGCGGCCACCAGCGACGCCTTGGGGCTCACTGCAAGCAGCAGGAACGTGTGGAATGCGTCAGAGCAGAGCTACCGCGAGCATGGAACAAAGAAAGTCGCGAGGAGAGGTTAGTTACTGACTGGTGCCGAAGGCGGTGGCGTCGGGGCGGGAGGAGAGGAGGAAGACGAGGCAGATGACGAAGCAGCCGACGACGATGGACAGCAGCCTGAACCGTTGCGACTCGAGGCGCAGCGGCTGCGGCAGCCTGCCGCCGCCGCCCCTCCCGGCCTTGTCGCCCGCGCCGCCGCCCTTCATGGTCGGTCGGACGCGCCTGCTGGCCTGCTCTGCTCGCAACTGTCTCAGTGTCTCAGGATGCCCAGGGCCGGGCCTATGCTTCTTCCTCCAAATAGGTAGCGTGAGGATGCAAAAGACCGGAGGGGAGAGTAGCCACTGGCCAGCCAACGGCGTCGTCGCCCAATCCAAGAACTCGCCAGCTACGGTTGTTTCCTTTTCCTTCTCCTTCTACTAGTGCTAGGGTTGTGGTAGCCCGCTCGCCCCAAATTTTTATAATTTGACCATTTTTTAAGAAAATTTATGTTTGGCCTCTTGAAAGACGTAAACTAATTTTTGGACCCTGGGGGTTGGCGCCAGGACTCATGGCGCAGAGGTAACACGTCTCGGCGCCATAGATCTTAGCTCCGAGATGCCTGGTCGTGCACAGCAGGGCATCTTAGGTGGCGTTGACGTGGCGGTACCTCGGCGCCACAGATATTATCGCCGACCTCGAGCCATGTATTCTGGAGCCGAGCATGGATTCAAAACCCACGGTCAAGTTTTTCTTGCTGAGGCTGCTCTCATTTCTTCCTCCTCCCTCTCCCTAACCCGCCCAATCTCTTGAATCGACGAAGTTTGATCTTGGATACTTGGATTTGATCCATACATCTTCACGAGCAAGGTATCCTTTCTCCCCTTATCATTTTTCATGCATTGATTTGGTATATATTACGTCTATTTTGCAACCCTAAATACGTTATTACCTAATGTTTGAAGTGATTTTTTATTTCTTATATTATGTAACGGTAGGATGCCAAGGCGTGGTAAAGCTAGTAAGCCAAGGTAATCACTTATCATCGTGTTACATTATGTTTTTATTTATATGCAACAAATAGAAAAACCCTAGGTTTATGGTTTAATGTTCATTGCTTTCGGTTCTTAGAATAAATTTGGTTCAATTGTAGTTATGGGCAGATGACCGAAAATGCCTTCGACTCGTTGCCTCTGCCTAGTGGTGTTCCAGTATCCATATACTTTTGTGGCGATCCTTGCAAGATAGCAAAGTCCGATGAAGAGGACACGTATAGGCAGAGGTATTGGATGTGTGCTAATTTTACGTTTGAGCCTACACTTCGTCAGCGCCGCATTAACAAGATGGTGAGAAATCGATATTGTTTAATATTTATTTTGTGTCAAATGAAGTCTTGCATGATTTATTTGTTTTGTAACAATTGTATTTATTGCAGACCCCTCCACCGCTATGTGATTTTGAGCAGTGGATCGACACTGAAATCAAGTCGGAAGACAAGGAGTGGATGCAGAACTGTTACGGTGGGAGGCAGAGGACAAGGAGATGATGGAGAAGAGACGCAGAGAGGAGGCTCTAGAAAAGGAGCACAAGGAAGAGGAGGAAAGGAGGAAAGGGAGAGGAAGCTTAAGCGTGCGCTCCGAGCCAAGGCAGCGATGGAGGAGAATCCCGATGTCCAGAGGAAGAGAAAGTGACCTCGTTGCACTTAGTAGTCTTCATGAGTTGTTAGTTCTATGGTTTATTCATGAACAATGTTGTCTAATCTTGAACTATGCATTTGTGTTGTCATGTAATGCACTTTTAATTTGTCATCATGTACTTCAAATGTTGTTATGTTGATTAATGTGCTCTATTGTAGGACCTTTCATAGTGTCGTTGGTTTCATTATTTGTTATCATAATATTGAGTTTAATATTACATAGGTAGTGAAACGAGCTCACGTAGTACAAATAAATCATAACGAAGTAGTGGATTACCTAATTCAACACACACAACACATGAAATGGCATGTGATAACATGTACCAAACTAGGGTACGGAGGTCCTGGACTAAACTTAACATGCCTTAGATAATTGAAGCAAACAACAAGCACATGAAATGGCATATGATAACATGTGCCAAACAATGGTACATATTTCTTTGGACTAACCCTAACATGCCTCAGGTGATTAAAAAAAACAAACACATGGATGTGGTCCATTAAAAAGATTGGTTTGTCCTAGTAGTGTGGCCACATAGTAAATTGTGTTGCACCTTCTCCATAGTATCCTCCCATTGTTGGTGGTGGTGGCGGTGGGGAACCCTTGTTCGTGTGATTAGGGCAGGTGCAATATGGATCATTGCAATGAGTACCCTTGGTGCGTAAAAAATGATAAGGGGAGAGAGGATACCTTGCTCGCGAAGATGTATGGATCAAATCCAAGTATCCAAGGTCAAATTCGTCGATTGAAGAGATTGACGGATTAGGGAGAGGAAGAAACCAAGGGAGGAGGAAGAAATGTGAGTAGCCTCGGCAAGGAAAACTTGATCGTGGGTTTTTAATCCATGCTCGGCGCCAGAATATCATGGCTCCGAGGTCGGCGCCAAGATCTGTGGCGCCGAACTCGGCGCCATGTATTCTGGCGCCGAGGTACCGGCCATGTCAACGCCACCTAGGATGTCTTGTTGTGCACGGCCAGACACCTTGGAGCCAAGATCTGTGGCCCCAAGACGTGTTACCTCGGCGCTATGAGTCCTGGCGCCAACCCCCAGGGTCTAAAGATAAATTTACGTCTTCCAGGGACAAACATAAAATTTCTTTAAAAAAATGACCAAATTGTAAAAAATTGGACCCGCTCGCTAGCTGGCCAATGGACGAGCGGGATCACGGGCCTGCACGAGCTGACAGCTGCTTATATATTGTCTCGCCCGCCGTGGCCGCCGCCGCGCGCTGTGCCTGTGCGTGGAGCACGGGGCGGCTGGTTGGTAACACACGAAGCGTCCGACTTGAGTCGAGCGTGTCGTGTTGCATTGCCCGCCCCAACTGTGAACGCCGATCGCGTGCCGATTGGACCGGGCGTCATGGACCCGGCACGGGCCGCGCGCGCTGCCTGCCGTGTGTGTGAGGTGAGGTCGAGGGGGGGCATCTATCTGTCATTGATATTTGATGGGGGAGCACGACCCAACCATACTCTACTTCGTTGCAGGCATTTGTGCAGGCCGCCCATTTGTTTTCTCCTTCCAGCCTTAAAAATTTTCCATGTGACTCGATCGCCATGGCGTGCATTCCCCTGTTGATTCCTGTCGTCTCAACATTTAAAATTCCGGATTGTAATAATCTGCGATTTGACGATCGGGTAGCTAGGGAGCCACTTCACACCTGCTCTCTTTTTTTTTTTCATTTTCCTAATAATCAGATGACTGAGTTCTCAGGCGATGCCGTAGCCACTTCTGTCTTGATTTTTCCTCTATCTAGCCTACAAATCCTGAAATCCTCATCCCCATTCGCAGCCTACAAATCCTGAAATCCTCATCCCCATGTGGTTCAAATTGAGCCCATTTTCTTGGGGCATACACGGAAGAGACCGGATGGACAAGAAACGATCGCAGCCGTTATTGATTTAGATCCGGTAGATCAAAACTCGGATGCAGAAGCAGAAGAACGGGATGCAAAATAAATGGCAACTGCAGTATAACCAGTTCCGGCTTATTTGGGTTTGGATTTTTCTTTAAGACTGTAGCACTAGTACTAGTATAGACCCAAAGGTTTCTTCACCTAGATCCATTCTCCACGTTACCCGGGCAAGTCAAATGTGCGAGGGATGTATATAGATGCAGAATTCAATGTACACAGCATGGGACGGGATCGCCACCACGAGTTGACGACGGCGTAGCCAATTGAACGCAAATGGCTCTGACAGTCCACTAGTAACCTCATCATCTGTCTCAGCAGATTCAATATTCGTATTTACTTCTATATTACCCCTCTGTCTCAAAACTAATCAACTTTCAGAATTGTCTTCAAGTCAAATTATTTTAGGTTCGATCAAATTTATAAAAAAAATATCAATAATTATGAGACAAATTAAAATATCAATAGATAGATCATGAAAGATATTTTCATAATGAAATTGTTTGGTGTTATAGATGTTGTTACTCTTTCCTATAAAGTTGGTAAAATTATAATTTGACTTTGGTTGATTCTAGAAGTCGATTTATTTTGGTGTGGAGGGAGTAATACGTACTCCTCTATCACTTTTCAATCAAACAAATTAAAAAAATTACTAATATTTATAATGTGTAATAAGTACCATTAGATTAACAGTGAAATATGTTTTCATAATAAATCCATTTGGACATATAAATGTTTCGTATTATTTTTTAATAGAATCTAATCAATTTTAAGAAATTTTGACCTAGTGCAACCCTAAAGATTATATTCCTTTTACAACGGAGGTATATATGTCAACCATTATGTTGGGATTGAGGCCTTCGGAAACACCACCCCCTTCGCCCATTGTGCTCCCTCGCACCAGCAAAGATATGTCAAGTTCAACATCTATGTAGGTAACCTAAACCTTCAAGGAGAAGATAAATTGAAGAGAGCAAAGGTAAATTCCAAAATGACGCAAAGATTGGAAACTCTCGAAAGACTCTGTGAGAGACTCGTAGACTCTCACGAGGACCCTGAAGGTACACGCGATCATGGTAAAAATCTTTGGTTTTCCCCAAAGGTTTGCAACTTGTCTCGGACTAAAGAAACGTGAAGCAAGCATAGAGACTACGAAGGCCTTGTTCGCTTCTCTTATAATCCATACTTTTCAGCTTGTTTTTTCAACCGGAACAGTATTTTTCTCTCACAATAAATCAGCCGGAACAATGTTTCGGCTTATTTTTTCAGCGAAACGAACGGGGCCAAAGTCGAAAGATCTAGGCAAAAAGACTATTATACCCCTAAATATATCAAGAATATAGTGGTACAGTGGGAGTCACCTTATAATTCTGGGAGCCTCTCCTATAAATAAGATGTTTGTACAGATTAAAGAGAGATCAATACATTGTTATTTCATTATTATTCTTTTATATATGGTTTTAATTTTCTTTCGAGAGCTCGTAACCCCGAAACCCTTAGGGCATCCTCGACGGTCTATAGGGGAACAACTAGGGCTGGACAAAATACTCGCGGCTCGCTAACTCGCTCGACTCGTGTCCGGCTTAGCTCGGCTCGACTTGGCTTGTTTTAACTTTTTTCACG